CCTCATATTGACTCCTTTATTTCATTTTAAAGGCTTGAATCAATCAAGGCTAAGAGTGCTTTCTTCAGCTGTTTTAAATTCATAGTGTATGAACACTTAACTGTAGTTTGAAAGTTTTTAAGTTGAACATCTTCCCATTCATGTGAGGTGACAAACTTTCCTGTGAAAGTATTGTGAACGACTAAAGCTGTAGTGGTGGTTTTTAATTTTTCTCTTTTGGGTCTGTTAAGTTCAAACATTTCAGCTCATTTTGAAGAGTAACAGCAAATTTCCTAAACAGTTTGGTATTTTAAGCATAGGATGGCAGCAAAAAAACCCCTGTCTCACAGATACCGTTTTTCATTTTCATGCATAATTCATTAACATACAGTGACTTTCATTTTCATTCTATAATTTGACTGGTTTTCCCATGTTGCATGTTTGAATGGTGACACGCATTAGAACCAGGACATCATTTCATTAGACTAAAAAAAAAAATTGTAAATGTATTATATTAGTGAATTCATATCCCTGATTTTTCTGTTGTTAAAAAGAATGCTTGGTTTGGTTATTTTAGTTATGGGTGCCCCTATTGTCAATATGTAGACTATTAAGAAAAGTTACATGTAATGAAGAAAATTTCCTGATAAAATACAGGATCCTGAGTGATCTTAAGAAATGTTCTAATTTGATTTTTAGCTGGGTAGGTTTTTATACTGATACAAAAGGACTTCAGATAATTTAGAACACTTTCAGTTGTGTTCTGAAAAATACCTGAAGAACACTTTCTGGATTTGATGAAATTAATAGACCAGATATAGTCTAGATGTCAAATTTAAAGAACCAATTTTCACTGTTCAGTCCACTGTAGATCTGCATTGCTCTTCTAGAAGCACTAGTTTCTTTCCACTGCCTAATTAGACAGTATACTTGGCCTCAATTCCTTAACTCATTTTGTTTATGTGAGGACTATGACTAAAAACTACACCTATTAGTTGCTTTGAATTGCTAGTCTGTCTGGTAGATACTAGTTTTATTTTCTTGTGTCTGCCACTGAGACTTACTTTTTTTCCTTTTTTTTTTCTATCCTTTCCTTAATGTGCTATACTCCTTATGGGTACATGGTGCTCTTTCTTCTGTGGGAAATACTCGTAAGATGTGGTCTGAGAACTTCTCCACCCCTAAGTGTTTGCAGTCTGCATGCACTCCATAGCTTTTTGTAATGCGTTGCAGAACCACTGGTCAGTGAGCTACTGGTGGTTCTTATTCTTCTGCAGCCCAGTAGACAGAGCAGCTTTGCTTCTTGCCAAGGGTAGATTGCTGATGGGTTTTTTTATGTGACAGATAGATAACACCCATCTCAGGATATCCCCGAGCTGAGTGCCCTCAAGAGGGAAGGGTTGCTTTCCACATGTAGCAGGATCAACTGATCTGACTGCTTCCCTGAGAATTGTCTTGTAGCTCTTTTCACCAACTTTTTACTCCAGGAGGCTGTTTTACATAAGCTGTTGGCTCCCCTTAAACCACATAAATAACTTACAGAAATAGCAGTATGTTTTGGTTGGACTGGTGCTGGAAAATCATTGGTGTATATCAGATCCTTTGAGATGTAGGCTCTACCGTTCATTTGGCATTCGTCATTCTAGTTGCTACATGGGTTGTCCATTCATAAAGTTGCTTAAAAAGCAGAATTCAAATTTTCAGAGGTGGAAGCTGAGCTTCCTTTTCATATATGTCAGCAAGATCAGATGAGCTATCATTTTATCGGCATATGCTCCAATTGAAGCAAACCCTAGCTAACTTCCTTCAGCTCTTAAAGCCCTATGTAAAATCATGTTACACTTAATGGAGTTTGTTCTGTTCTGTATTATAGCTAGTCTTATAACCTGTTAATAACATCTCTCCTTCACCTGTTGTTTTTGCTATACAGATGCTGCTGTTAGCAATGATCTCATCACCTATGTCATTATATTCCAGCACATTCAGCACAGCATGTGACTGCTAAATGTGACTGTGACAAGTACTGAGAACAGTAGCAAGTAGAAGGGAGGCAGAGTATTTTGTATTTTCAGGCTCTGACCATGAAAATATGTGAGTGCATCAAAGAGGTGAAGAATAGGGATGCTGTTATGGGGATGTGGGGGATGAAACTCTTAACAACTGTTTGAGGTAATAAATGGGAATGTGATACTGAACTACTGGGATGGGAATAAGGTGAAATGGCAACTTACTTTCACTGGGCCTCAGTTTTTGATAAGAGTTTTGTTTTCCTGGGAGATTGCTCGCTTGTCTGGCAACCTCCCTCCTGTGGCTACTTAACAACTACAGTGGAAAGAATGATTTGAAATTAAATACCACCTTATTCATAAAAGTATGATGCACTTTAATGAAATGGTATTTGGTTGAAGATCAAAACAAAACTCTTTTCCAGGAAAATTGCTTTTTCAATTGGGCTCAGTGCAGCATCAAACAAAATGACAGTACCTACGTCACTGGAGATAGAAATACATTCTCCTTAGTTCCTAAGGCAGCTTCATAGGAAGTGGCATTTCCCCATATTATTTTGCTTGGAAACCGTTTTATAGACATCCCCAACAAACTTCAATGCAGGATGGAGCATTAAGTTACTCCTTTTGAATTGAAAAAACTTATCTAGCTAAATGCCTGTTAATTCATAAAAATGTGCTGTCCTTTGGGATGCAATTATACCTCTGGATTGCACAGTATCAATTGCTTCGGATCACTTCACTTAGAAACCAGTTCTATGTCTATTTCAGTTACTGGGCAGCTGTCACTTCCCAGTGCAAACTGTTGTTAGGTAACAGTTTTTCATTACACTGTCTGATTAGAAGTACAACAGAAAGGGACAATCCTGTTAGACTGGATTCCAATTTAAAAACATAACAAGGGGAATTGAATCATTGGAGAAGTGTTAATATATTATGGTAGTATTTGATCACCATGCTTCCATTTCTTTATTTCACTTTTTCCATGAAAATGTGCTTGGTATCTTTGCAGCTAAAGAAACTTGCATTTCCTATATTTACAGTTCAAGCTGTATTGTAGGGAGTTGTCTGCTGTGATAGTTCATGTCCAGTTTACACGGCAGCATTCATATAGCTTTGCCAGAGTAAGAACCAAACAGTTTCTACCTGATACCCTAACACTTGGTATTGCATGTAAAGGAAAAGTATTTGCCATTTTAACTTGCGTTTGATACATACTTGACAAAATATTGCTGGTTCTGTTTCTAATAGGAAAGAGAAACTCTTCAGAAACAGCTGGATGAGGCAAACAGAGAAGCACAAAAATATCGTCAGCAGCTTCTAAAGAAAGAACAAGAAGCAGAGGCCTATCGGCAGAAGTTAGAGGCAATGAACCGCCTCCAGACTAATAAAGAAGCTGTTTAATAAAAAATGAACATACTGCAAAGCCTGTTACTTTCAAAAACCTGCAGTACAATCTTGAACTGTACGCTATATAGGTACAGACACAGGATTACATGATAGAGAAGATGCTACAAGTTGATAACTGGACTTACGCCGTGAGCTCTGATGAATTTCTTGTAACATAAAAACTCTGAAATTTAGAAATTGTGAAAAGTATTTAAAATGAAATACTGTAAATAGTTGTTTTTTTTACAGTTTCAAAATGAGTTGATAAATCTTTTTGAAGGGATCCAGAAACACGGGAAGCCAATGTTTTTGTGAAATTTTTGATTTTAGTATGAATCTAACTTCTGAAAAACAGAACAGTTTTAAGGGTGATGTTGATTTAAGCTGACATCTTGAAGACGAATTATGTGACAAAATTAATTAACAGTTATTTCTACATGGTAACAACTTAAACTTCTCTGAATAAGACATTTCCAGGTGGAAATCTTTGTACAGCTTTAAGTAGTTGTCTCAGATTTTCTGAAAACCATTTTTGGTTGGTTTTTTTTTTTAATTTTAGGTGGTGAAATTTTTATATTTAATTTCAGATATATCCAAGTAGACTTACATGTATATGAAGCTAATATTTTTTAAACTTTTCAGTTTGTACATATGCTGCATGTTTTTATAATTTCTACACAAACATCTTGCATAGGTATTTTTCAGCAAAGATGAGAAAAATTATGAGAAAAATGTTTAGCCTATAGGTCATTTGAAGTAAGCTAGCAGCCAGTTTTATTGTGGATGGTATATTTCTTGGAAGAATGTAATTTGTAACTAAAAAGAACAAAAAAAATCTGAATTTACATATTAGACACAATTCAAATTTTGATAGTGGAGGCATTGAAACTTCACTTTGTGTGTCTTACGATTTTCCTGTACAAACATTTTAAAGTTCAGTAATGAATAGAAAAGAATGTCTCCACTGAAACACAAATAGTAGTTCTTTTAGAATATTCCTATTGATCTCTTTTTCCCCAATAGCCTTGAAATTATTTCAGTGATACATTTTTTCTAAATGGACTTTTGCATTTTAATTATGCAATTGGACAAGTAATTTTTTTATGTTGTAGTGATGCTGTTATTACCTGGCATCATTGTTCTTCACTGTGATACGGTGTCTGTGTGTGTCTGTGCAGTGATCTATTATCCTTAGGGTTTATATAGCACATTACATCTTCAGAGCATTGTAAAATCTTTTAAAGAACCCTTACTGTACTGCCTGAGGCAGGTAAGTGAGTGTTATTGTCTCAATTTTATAACTGGTATAAGTGCAACACAGGGAGTGTTAAATGACTGGCCCAAGACCACGTGAATATGTGGTAGTCCTGGGAACAGATCTCAGGAGTTTCTGGCTTCTAGTCCTGTGCTTAGACTGAGCTGCCTTAAGATTGTTCAGTGCTGTGTTACATTAAATTTTGAACTACTGTGCAGATTTCCTTTTTTGTAAGATAAAACTCTTTGTGCTTTGCTTTGTTGTTCCATGTTTCACTGCTTTTATGGAATTGTTTATATAAAATTAAGCAAAAAGTCTAGTTCACCTATACTGTACACAAAGAATTACCCTTAAAACTGTACTCTGGCCTACTTTTTCTATTTTACAATTAAATATCTTTTCCACATATGTATAGTGTAGAATCAATTCCATTTCAATTGTTTTTTTATGCACATTAGAAGGTCAAAGCTGTGCTGTGTTAGGCATTCAGAAAAATACAAAAAATTCTTTTAGGCTTAGAATTACTTTCAAAGGTAGGAGGGAGGAGTGGGGAAAGAATTGCATTATACAATACAAAGTAAAATCTTCCTTCTTCAAACTTTGACTTGAGTTTATAGAACTGGCATTTGGGAAAAAAATCCTAAATAGCCTAATATTGGTATAAATTTGGCAAATTTGATACCGATTGGCAAATTTGACCCCAAAATAATCAGAAGCTAATAAAAAAAAAAGAAGAATTTGTGGTGATGGTTTTTAGAAGAATTATTTTCAAGGATATAATTGTGCTCAGCTGGTACGGGGACTTGAAGCAAGCCTTGCGCGGAGACTAACTGGAAATTGCTGTATTTTAGGGTTTTTTTCAGAAACTGTCCATTATGTCATTAGTGAATGCAGGAACCAGTTCGTCAAGTTAAATGTACTGGTTAGGCATTATTCCAACTGAATTATTCTGTGATCAAAATAACATTTGTGTCCTCACATCCCACAGACTTAACTACAGTTTAATCTATGTGAACTCTTAATAACGATAAGAATTTCAGCATTGGTCTGAGTAGTGATAGTGGTAATGTTCACGTCCAAGTGGAGAATTTCCCACGGTTTTGACGGCACAGACCTTTGTAGCAAACAATGAAAAGAACCGTTTCTATTAATTCTGCTTCCTGTGAGCAAATATTCTATTCCTCATTGTCTGTAACAAAATCCTTCCAAGTGCAAGGTAGCTATAACAAAAAATTATTTATCAACAGTAATGTTTACCCTACCTGTAATTCATTATCACCTATTTTATTCCAGTTCCGAACAGGACCTACTGTTTGTTCTCTTCTGCACAGAACGAGAAACCAACCTGATGAAACTGTCACCTTTGAGCAAAGGCGTAGGGTATATATGACACATGGAATATTTATTGCGTAGTTTAGCTCTGAAAACATTGTTAAAAGTATTGCTCCTTATTTGCTGGTCCAAATTGAAATCATAAATGTAATTAGCTACCAGCTTGCTTTGAACAGACGTCCATATATTAAAGTAATGTATTAGTTACTTGTAATGAGCTAGAATCACAGTTTTTGAGAACTCTGAGCTCTTTTTGAGTTGGTCCTGTGCTTGATGCCAGTCCTTTCTGACCTTTTTTGTTTCCCTTTATGGTAGTATTTGCAGTAAAGTCAAGTTCATAAATTGATACTAAGTGTGTGGGCAGCTTCTTATTTTTTTCCTTAATGTTTCCAGGGAAATGTGAGATAAAGCAGATGAACAAGCATATAATATGGTTTTTTTGCACTTCTTGCACATCTTCTTTCAATGCTTTTTTTATCAGTTTTTTTTATTTCAGTATATTAATCTGATGTGCATGTATCAGAGCACATCATAAAATGGGAAAGGGTTAGTGCAGAGGCAGATACACACTATCTTTGTCATATCTATGAAACAGTTCTTTCTCAAAATATCTAATCGCAGCAGAAACTAGCAAAGGTTTTCATACTGTTCTGTAGAAAGTATGCTGCGGAGAGACATAACTTTCTAGAACAAGGAAAGCATTTAGGCTGCATTATAGTACATGAGGCAGAAAATCAAAGCTGCTCTGACAGCCGGTTCTCTTCTGTATGATGAGAACAGAGAAACTGCTGTCATGTGTCAGACAAAGGGTCTGCTTTGCCTGGGGTCCTGCCTCCAACGGGGCCAATCCTATGCAGGAACCTTGGGTATAGCAAAATAGGGCAAGCATATATTGTACTATGTAATAATTTGTCTTTCTGGTGCTTAGTCCTACCTCTCTCTTTTCCCAGGGCTGCCTGGTATCAGTGTAGAGCAAGTGAGTTCCTTCTGGTGAAGATGATAAGCGTTCAACCTTGAGTACAGTGTCAAAAGCTGTGCTGCCAAAGACAGGTCAGGATGTGTTTTCAGGTCCTGAAACGAACAAGGGGAAAACTACATGGCTGTTCTTCCAAGCTGAGAACAATCCAGGTGGAGGACTTGGAGGAGTTCTGGAGATGCAAGGCCAAATCCCAGTGCTTATGCACATCATATGTGAGAAAACCAAGCACAGGGGGGAGAAAAAAGATGCATTTTCCCAGCTCAGCAATCTAGGGTGATAGCAGTTGGAGGAACATCACCCTGCAGTGTAACCTGCTCTGATCTGGAGGGGCAGGAAATTCACGAAGAGGATTGATAATTGCTGCTTTGCGTTGCAGTTCTGGAACTGGCAATAATTGTAATGCCTTCCCTTCCAGCAGCAAAGGACTGACAGCATAGGGACTGAAGACTTGTGGGGATGCAGGTCTCTTCTTGGGAAGACTCGATCCTACAATTCTTTAAAAACCAAGCCAAACCAAAAAAAAGTCCCTGCCCGCACTGTCAAATTTAGTATGTGCTGGTGCCTTGTTTTAATGACTCCCGCTAGTGCAGTAGTTCAGTGTGCTGGAGTAATGTGACTGCTTTAATTTGATTTTGGAAGCTCTTAAGCTTTTTCTCTCCTACAAGTCTGATGTTAATGTGTCTTACATTCATGACTTGGATTACTGTGAGACTTCTGAAAGATTGAAAATGGGAAAGGGTTAGTGCAGAGGCAGAGATACACTATCTTACACATCAAAAGAGCACAGAGACTGTGAAAGCCCTCAGTTGGGAGGAGTTCAAACACTCACCAATAACCTGCCTACGTTAAACCTTTTCCAGAATGCGTGAGTCTGAGAGATAAAGGGAGCTATAAAAGGTGAAGCAGCTAGCAGGGCACCAGATCAAACTGCCCACAGCTCCTGAAAGGTCGTGGTCCAGGTTTGAAGAGGTGCTTTTAGAAGGAATCGGTATGGAGCCTGAGGAGTACAGACAGAGAGGTGAGTGATCCTCTGCTCTTGGAAATAGGTAGCATTTTCTCCTAGAGATCAACTGTCGTAGGGCTGGGAATGATACCCCAAATTAGGATGGGCTATATACTCTTTATTTGCATGTGTGTCCTTGACCCTTAGATCGGCTGAGACAAAAATGTGTCCCAGGACTGAGTTTAAATTAATGGATTTAGAGTCAGTGGATGACTTAGGCTTTTTTGGTCTTACATTTAAAATACTATGGGAAAGCTGCAAAACTGTGATTCTGAATAAACTTCTGCTAGCGGGTTATGCACAGTGGCTCTCCCCTGACTGACCATGAGACTTCGGTTATACTGGCAGAGTTCTGGAGATGGGGAACAAGCTTTGGTCCCAAGGCTGGAGGAGATTGCCTAAAAAATGGAGAAAAGGTGTGGAGCTGTGCAGCTGTTCTCAGAGGATGCAAAAGGGGGTATGCTATAATGACAGGGAAGCATTGGGCATTGTGAAAATTTAATTTCTGTGAAGTACAGTTTCAGTTAATTTGTAGCCAAGAAAATCTGTCTATTCTCTCAGTAATCAAACAAACTGTGCTTGTACCATGATTGTATTTTAAAGGTACATTTGAACTATTCAATGACAACACTGAAGTAACCCTGTGAGTCTGTTCTGTCCCCATGAAGCCTGTTCTAGAAGCTGTGTCCCTACATTATTAGATGGGACAGGTAGGGTGTAGGAGGGTTAGTTCCTGTGGCTGCCCTGGGAGCAGTATTCCAAGCCCTGTCCAATGCTAATGACAGATTGCATGAAGTGCTAGTACTGCAGTGGAAACTCAAAGCACTGGTTTGCCTCTTCCAGGGAAAGAGATGGTGGATTACATTTGCCAGTACCTGAGCAATGTGAGAGAGAGACGGGTGACTCCGGATGTACAGCCAGGTTACATGAGAGCCCAGTTGCCGGATTCTGCCCCAATGGACCCAGACAGCTGGGACAACATCTTTGGAGATATAGAGAAGATTATTATGCCTGGGGTAAGAAATAAAGTATAATTATGACAGGAAAAAGCCATTACTACCTGGGGTGAACACCAAATCCTGGGAATGCACAGGTTCTGCAGAACATTTATCTAAATAAATAAAGCACCCAAATCATAGAATAAGTCTTGTAGGTAGTATGTCCACAGAAGGATTCTGGAGATTACTGTTGTGTTCCTAACTACAATTTTTGGGGATAGACTGAATGTATTTTTGAAGTATTTTATACTTTAAGAATAACTCACGTTTGCTTAGAGGGAAACAATGATTTTCTGACGCTGGTGAATTTAGCCTCACGAGGCCTCTACCTGCTGAAGTGCATCATCACAATTTAGAGATGTGGAAACTCGGGCACAGCAAGTGAAACATCTCTTGCCCAAGGTCAGGTACATATACAACTTGTCTCCTGCCCTTTGAATGTAAAGGTCTCCTTGCTCTTGTACATGAATATTGCAGATTCTGCTAAGGTAGTTCATATTACCTAATTAAACATTTTATGCAAGAAACTGCTTCAAAGTCTATTTTAAAATTTTCTTTATAGATGTTTGCAGAAATTTGATCTGATGTAGGAGAGGTATTCACATTAAACATGCTTACACTGGTGTCCCACATATAAACTCCTTCAGGCATATAGAGGGGCGCTATATAATTGTAAATTGCTGTGTGTAGCTAAAGGCAAGCTATTGTTTGACAAAATGAGCAAGAACAACTTTTTTGCAAGGATTGCCCTTACAAAGATTAGTATTTTGATATTTCTGACTCTGTTGTGCAATGTTCAAAAGACCGTTCTTTCCTGTTCAGAATCTTTGTCTGCCTGTTTAATTCAGATAAATGCTTTTGCTAGAATTTGGAATTTATCTAATAACGACATAGTGTTATCATTTGCTGGTGCTGCATTCCTGTTGATACTATCTCTGTAGCTTTCTGCTAGCAGATCTATAATTGCACATATTTGGTTGCTGTGATCGTTTTCCATCCCTTTAAACAGATGCTAATCACTACACCTTGTGCAGAATTTTGTTACATTTTCAGACTTAACTTCTGGATAATTTTGTTCTAGGTAGTCCATTGGCAAAGTCCACACATGCATGCCTACTTTCCAGCTCTTACTTCCTGGCCTTCACTCCTTGGCGATATGTTGGCTGATGCAATTAACTGCTTGGGATTCACATGGGTAATTTTTCTTTTTTTTTTGTTATTTTAGATATTTAACTTGTGTATTATGTAGGGAGCAGGTCATAGACATTCTTTTTTATTCTGTGAGTCAGTATAATCATTTCCTTTAACCAATTGTATGTTATTTGCATAAATGAAAAATATCACTTAAAATAAATAGAATATATAAGAGCAAACATTATACAGTAGTAGGAGTTGAATGAAGAAAATATACCACTTGAGATGTCTCCTTTCTAATTCTTTGCATATCCCACTGTGAACATTGTTTGCTATCACCTAGTCTCTGTGCCAAGACTGTTACACAAGCATTGCAGGCAATAAAGCAGCCACCATCCATGACTGCAGGCTAGGTTGGGCTCCATTCCAGTTCTGCTCCTGTGAGAGAACACATTTCCTATTTTTCCTCATCTGAAAATAATTGTTTGGTGATTTGTTCCAGAATATCTTGAGTGTTTTGTATCCTCCTGCAGCAGCTACACAGCACTGCTTGGTTGTGAGTCTCTACATACCTCAGTTGCGTTCTGAAGCCAATGTTTCCCCCAGTGATGAAGTTGCCCAGCTTTTTAGATGTATGTCTCCGTGTAAGAAAGCAGTAGAAGCTCATAAACCTATAAGAAGTTGATGATTATGGTCTCCATGTAGTTGTATCAGATCAGCTCACTGCATACACAGAAAAGTCCATTTCTATGCCCTCAATCTAGTTTTGGTAGATTTCTGTTAAATCTGCAGTGTAAACGGATTCATTCATAAGTAGAAAGCTGGACGCTCCAGAACAGCTTCATCTTTCATCTGTTGTCACTCTTCAGAAGCCTCCCTTCCTTAACTCTCAGTTGGGAGATGGATCAGTGCCCTTTCTCTTTAGGGACCAAGAGCATGTACTTCTGTGGTGAATTGCAGTTCCGCGGTTTTGTCTCAAATAGCTAATGATTTTTCTTCATGACTCTAAAATTATTGATAGTTTAGAAGCTCAACACTGAGGTGATGTGGGTAATCTGGGGAAAGCATTTTAAGGAGGTGGTAGAGGGTCTATGTATTTAGTGCTCCACAAGGGCAGCTGGTAATGAGCAAGGTACTCGGAGCTCATCTTCAACTGCAACCTTAACATAGATGTCTGTATTGCAGAACTTGCCAAACGACATAATTTTTATTACAAGAGCGTTGTGTTCTGCTAGGTCATAGTATTACACAGCTAGCTGCTTATATATCCACTGCTACAAAGCTTGTCAATCTGCCTTTGTAGCACCTAGGTGAGATTTCTCCCAAGGCACTTAAAAAGTGTTAATAGCTATTAATAAAATGTGATACATGGTGTACTCTAAGGGTTATGCTCCTACTGTATTTGCAGGGTGAATTACAGCCTGATTTTTTTTTTTTTCTAGGCCTCTAGTCCAGCCTGTACAGAACTGGAAATGAATGTGATGGATTGGTTGGCTAAAATGCTGGGCCTTCCAGATAAATTCCTGCACCACCATCCTGACAGTGTGGGTGGAGGAGTATTACAGGTAGGGAAGATCAGAGGTGGCCTCATCAATATCTTGTTTTCAGGCAAGTGAATTTCCCTCTGGGTGATAGCTTTCCTGGAGGCAAAATCAACAAGATTTGCTCTATGGATCTGAATAGAGACAAATCCCAAATGCTATTGCTTTTAGTCCTAATTGTGTAATGGACAAGGATTAGGTACTCTTGTGGCCTTACTAAGAATAAATGAATGAGATCCAGATTTGGTTTCTTCAGTCTATTTCACGTCACCAAATTATTCACTAAAGTGATTCTTGTTTAATTAGAGAAGGAATCCTTGTCATTGTCCTTCTACCAGCAGTACTTAGCCACACAAGAAATTTTTTTCCTTTTTCTGATATCTACTTTGTCTCTGAGAATTGCAAGGCCTGAACCTTTACTTCCTTTCATAAGGCCTAAGCAAGTATCTGCTGGAGTCAATGCTGAGGCTCTGTCTTGTTAGAAGGAGCTTTGTTCAGCTTTGTAATTTTTATGGGAGATACTACATTTTAGCTGTAGAAGAACAAAAGGGAAATTGTGATTTATTTACTCCCCCCAACTCAGTCCTGCATGTTAAAAATATACAGCAGTTAAAAGGCTTTGTTTCATGTTGCTCGCCCAGAGAGCCGCTCCTGAGCTAGTGACTTTCCACCACATCCCAGAAAAGCGGTAGTAGAAGTAAGAGGGGGTGGACAGCTGAGCACTTCAATGACTTCAGTAAATCCCTGACAAAATAGTAATAAAGTAGCAATATGTTGCAATAAATGAGCAATGTCTTTGCAGAGCACTGTGAGTGAATCAACCTTGGTTGCACTGCTAGCAGCAAGGAAAAACAAAATTCTGGAGATGAAGCTTTGTGAGCCAGACACTGATGAGTCCTCACTCAATTCTCGCCTCATCGCTTATGCATCTGATCAAGTAGGTTCTTATGGTTACAAAGAAAACAAATTTGCTTCTGCAGTCTCACCCAGACCATACAATGTGAACTCAACATTTCTGTACCAAGAGAAAAACACAAACATGAATGCCATTCAAGTATGAACGAATCCCTCTAATGTTGCTTTCTGCAGATGGGGAAACGAAATCAGCATGAGATGAGGTTTTGTAGGGTCCCAGCAGTCCTCAAGAGACTGTTCCACATAACTCATTTCTGCACTTCCTGTTTTTCAGAAAGCCTTCCTCCAGTAACTAGGTGCTGATCTCATGCTGCTTCAGCTCTTTGTTTCTTCACAGCCTCCTTCCACTCAGAGGCAGGCACGCTCAGGGTGTTACCTCAGTGCCGCTCCTGGTTGTGGTCTCCACTCTAGGCCTCTGTGCTGCTTCTTGGAGGAAACATCTACACAATATTGTGACTCTGCCTGCAAACCTGTTCTGTCCTTGGACTCCTGAACTGAACAATCATATTCCCCTGTGAAAACTGCAGCAGGAGAGGCACTTGTGCTGGTTCTCTCTTAGTATAACTAAAAGGCCTTTTTCTTGTAGGGGTTTTGGTCTACCCCAGCCCAGAAGTAGGCATACTTCAGGGGTTTTTATCTTCTTATGGCAGGGAGGAGGGAGTAAACTGAAGTTGGTACATTTCTAGAGGGTCCTTTAAGATCTGAGTTTTGATAAATGGCCCTCCAAACACAAGGTAAGGATGCCTATTATTACATTTTAGAGACCAGTACCCAAATAAATGGAGCATATGCATTCCCTTGAATTACAGTGTATTATTTCTTTTAGTTATTCACAAAAAAGAAACTTTCAGACTTGTATTAATATGGATTATAATAAGGGTTTTATCTCTGTTTTTATTGCAACCACTGTCTTTTATTAGGCCATAACTTACCACAGCTGTTCAGCCTCAGAGCTTGCTTTCTTACTGTTTCTTTTTTCAAGGCGCATTCTTCTGTAGAAAAGGCTGGCTTGATTTCTCTTGTGAAGATGAAGTTTCTGCCTGTGGATGAGAACTTTTCCCTCAGAGGTGAAACTTTGAAGAAAGCCATTGCAGAAGACAGAAAGAAAGGCCTAGTGCCAGTCTTTGTATGTTCAAGTTTCTGGTTGGGGGTATTGATGCAGTGTTGTATTCTTAATGTCAACATAAAATTACATCTGAAACCTTTCTTACTGTGTTAAAATACATTAGTTGAAGGTTAAAATGTATACAAGAATTTATTGAACAAAAAAAATTAGTATCATTGACTATATATGATAGCCTCTCACTTTCAAAGTGTTGCATCCATTTATTAAAAAAATGCCATCTTAACAGGTTTGTTTTATTCTAGGTTTGTGCAACTTTGGGTACAACTGGTGTCTGTGCTTTTGACAATCTGTCAGAACTCGGACCAGTTTGTAAGTGTCTTTTTTTTTTTTTCCTGATTTTAAAAGATAGTATGAGAATTTTTCATGCCAAAACCAAGGCAATTAGAAATGCTAATCAGCTGAGTTTTTCAGATGTGTCTCAAAGATCAGTGGAGTCAGAGCAACACTTTGCAGTGATTTCTGTAAGATTTAGATTATGATGATAAAATCCATTCTATTCAAAATGGATGAAATTTGCGAACAGTGGTTATTCAGGGAATACAGACTGTACAGGACAGAGTACATTACTGTTGTAGAATGGCTACATAAATATTTAACCTAGCAAAGGAGTTTTGAAGGTAGTGTTTGGTAGGACATCCCTTGTAGCCACCAGTTCAATAGGTAAATTCGGCACAGTTGCAGATTCTATTCCAGCAAAAGTTCTGACAAGTAGCTGCTGAAGACCTGTGGCTCCTTCTCTCATGGGTCAGAGTGTGGCTTCTCTCGCTGGGTCCTTTTTACTTGCCACCGGGTCTTTATTCTAGCTTTGTGCAACTGCGTTGTACTGGGGAATTTCACTTAGGCAGGTGACAGAAATCAAACATTAAAAAGCCTCACTCATGAAATACAGAACGGTGATTGTTGTTTTAGAGTCCATCTGATTCTGTATTATCCTGTATTTTGGGGTTCTGGATCCACAGCTTTAGAATAAAACTATACTGTCCATCTCTTGTTTGCTATTTTGTTGTCAGCTTGTTCACCCCACCTCCTGCAAAAACATGCACCTAGTTTCAGAGAAGAGAGATTAAGCATGTACTTTGATTCCTTATGTCCTTTACATAACAACAATTTCAATTCCAATAGGTGATGCTGAGGGACTCTGGCTTCATATTGATGCTGCATATGCAGGAACAGCATTTGTATGTCCTGAATTCCGATTTTTCTTGGATGGAATTGAATATGCAGATTCCTTTACTTTTAACCCTTCTAAATGGATGATGGTTCATTTTGACTGCACTGGATTTTGGTGAGTAAAGGCAAAACACGCCACCAGAAGGATAACATGCAAGTTGCAAAGTCTTTCTCTGCACGATTCTTTGCTAAATGCAATTCATTCTATAATTCATAGGGTTAAAGATAAATACAAGTTACATCAAACCTTCAGTGTTAACCCTGTCTACCTCAGACATCCCAATTCAGGAGCTGCTGTTGATTTCATGGTAAGTTGTTAGTTGAGTTGGTATTTTAAATTGCCTATAAAATTTTCAAACAGAATGTGAAATTCCTCATGCTCTGGAGTGTGCTTATCTTATAGTTGGTCTTACTACATAAAGGCATAAAAACAATTATACTGAGATCCTAATGCAGATTAAATAGTAAAACTTTGAAGTGAGCCTTGGTTGTGAAAACCTAATTGTAAAATTGCTTTCAGATACGGAGATTGAAGTACTCAAGATTTTTACAGATGGGGATCCAGCCTTCTTAGTTAGAAGGATCATTTCTGTGCATTGTGTTGCTGAAGTAATTCCTACTGATGGCATTTTGGCTGGTTTTCTTGTATCTCTGATACGTAATAAAAAAGAGAAAGGAGTAAGCAATGGAAACACTGTGATATGAAACAGCAGTAGAATGAATTGTGTTTTTCTTTGGATTAAGGTATTCATAGGAGAGCCAAGAGGCATTTCACTTTAGATCCATCTTACAGCAGATTTCAGTCCAGTAAAACAAAAGAATATTCACTGCCAATTGTTTCTGCTATGATCTCACCCTAGTCCTGAAAAGATAATTGTTTTCTTGAAATCAGTAGTGCTTTTCACAGAGAATGTGAGTGTAGAGGTGGGGGGGAATATATCAACGAGTCCCTCTTGTGGTTAAATAGGACCCTGCAAGTAATTGGGTAGCTCCCTAGAACTATTCCTTTACGTGTTCTGTCACTTTTTTCCATGCAGTAGGCGTTACTTCCCCTGTAAGGGTCTACCCCTGTATCAATTCTCGCTGTTTATAGGTGATTTGGGAAAACGTTCAGGATGGCACTTAAATATGCAAATTACAGGAACTGAAGTGAGCACTTGGTCCTAAAGTGTAAAAGGACACATCTTAAATTGATAATACTCTTTCTTTAAATGTAAAAAGCTTTTGTTATTATCTGGTACTTAACAAAAAATTCTAAGTATATCTAGGCCATAGATTAAAGGGAATAACCACAATCTTATTTTTGCAAATAATTAAAACATATTTAGATGTAGTGTTTCTTTGATGGCTATCCTAGGCTTAGCAGATTTTCAGTAATATGAAATTCTTTGTGTCAACAGAGATTTCTGACCAGAGTCTGAAGCAGCAGGTGTAGCAGTGTAAGGGGACATTCCTTTCTGTTGTTTTTGCACTCATTGATACACCGTTGTGTCTTCACAGCACTGGCAAATACCACTGAGTCGTCGTTTTCGTTCTTTGAAGCTGTGGTTTGTGATTCGTTCATTTGGGGTGAAAAAGCTTCAAGCTCATGTTCGACATGTATGTGAATTAACAATGCAAGCATAAACGTATTATGTTTGTTTATTGCTAGCTGTATTTAATAAATTCAGTGATGCAAAGTAACAGAATTCTCTCACACGCAAAGCTTGCATGTGAGCACTAAATGCATGCTGATTTTACTCTTAAGTAATCTGTACAGATTGACTGCATGGACAAAACATTTCCTGTATCCTTCCTGGAAGCAATAGGCAAATGGAAAGCAGCTGGATAAGTCAATGCCTTCTGCACATTACTAATCTGCAGAAGCTTTCTTTCAAAGTGGCAGCTGTTTGGGAGGCAGGCTGTGATGGGTGGCTGAACCCATTGCTATGAAAATTTACAGGTGTAAGTCTTTGATGGAGTGTGAATAGAAGGGATCATATAGATGACCTCTAGGGGTCCCTTCCAACCCAAAACATTCTATGATTCTATGATATTGTGGATCAATGGTTGCTGCAAAAGGACTCTCATCTGAGAAGGCACATTCTGTTTTCAAACCTCTTCTAGAAAATTCCTGTATATAGGTATAGTGCTCTTGTTGATTGTCAAAGGTTCGGGCAAATAGACACAGGCTTTAAAATTCTTAGCTTTGTTGTCATTCTTCTGTTTGCTACTATTCATGCATTGGAATGATGTGTTTTAGTAAGGAAAGGAATTCTTCTTAACTACTTAATTTAGTGTCTTACAGTGGGTTTGTGACAAACCAATACATAACTACTTTTTTCCTTTAATTATAGGGTACAGAAACAGCAAAATTCTTTGAATCATTGGTTAAAAGTGATCCACTCTTTGAAATTCCTGCCAAGAGACATCTTGGACTGGTTGTATTTCGCTTAAAGGTAATGATGGGGCCTTTTGCATGTCTCTTGGAATGAATTGACCACAGCTGATCTCTCCTCAGACATTAAGAACTGTGAATAAACTTTCATGTAAGAATTTGTAATGCTGGAATTCTTAAGAGAGATGTTTGAATGTCACTGGAAATTCTAACTATAGTATTTTTTTTCCTTATTCATATTTAAAACAGGGTCCCAACTGGCTGACAGAAAAACTCCTGAAAGAATTAAGCAGTTCTGGCAGGCTCTTCCTTATTCCAGCAACCATTCATGACAAGTTCATCATTCGCTTTACTGTAACATCTCAGTTCACAACCAGGGAAGATATTCTGGAAGACTGGAGCATCATTCAACACACTGCAGCCCAAATCGTTAGCCAGAATTATGGGTTGCACTGCATCAATTCTGGTGATGGGGCAAGAATCCCTAATATGATAGTTAAGCCTAGTTCTGATGCCATTGGTAGTGTTCCTCAGCTTTATCTAGATGGAGGAAAATACAAAACACCTTCCAGAAAAATAGTAGTTCAGCCTAAGAAGTTAGCAGCTAGTCCCAGTACGTGCGTGATTAGTCAACAAGTGAAAGGTCAAGGGGATCCTCTAGATGACTGTTTTCCGGAAGATGGCCCAAATGTTACCAAACATAAGTTAACCTCTTTTTTGTTCAGTTATTTATCTGTTCAAGGCAAGAAAAAGACAGCACATTCCCTTAGCTGCAACAGTGTGCCAACGACTGGTGGTCTTGAGCAATGTAACCCCAAAGCAGCAGCCACTGACAAGGAGTCTCATGCAAATGCCAGAATTCTTTCCAGGCTGCCTGAAGAGGTGATGATGCTCAAAAAAAGTGCCTTCAAAAAACTAATTAAGTTCTACAGTGTCCCAAGCTTTCCAGAGCGTAGCATTCAGTGTGGCCTTCAGCTGCCTTGCTGTCCTCTGCAAGCCATTGTTTAACAAGTAAAAGAGCTCGATAGAGATTGGAGACCTCTCCAGGTAGAAAGAGAACCAAAGTTTGCTTATTCATATGCAATACTACATGTTATTTGTTCAGTATGTAAGGAGTGACAGTGACCACTGAGAAAATTCCTGTGCTTTTACTGGTGGAAACTTCGTGTATTTATAGATTAAAATGTCAAATAAATCTTGTAGGCATATAACATGAAACTCTCTGGTTTGTAGACTGTGGTAAAGAAAAGGCCAATTTCTGCCTTATCAGTCCTGGTAATGGACAGTTTCTAGCTGGTGGGCTAGAATGATTTTGACAAAATATGCTGGTCTCAGTAGGGGGTAAACAAGTTAGCTCTCTATTTGCACCATTGGGTTTTGGTTTGGTGTTTTTTTTTTTTTTTTAATAACCTGACTTAAACTCTCTAGACTGCTGTGAGGATCTGTGTGTGCATGCAATGCCAACATCAATTCTGAACTGTGCAAAAAGAAGGATGTAACCTCTCTCTGAGATTTTGCTATATTGGGGCAATTTTAAAACTCCCTGAGTTTAAACACACAGCAGCCCTGCCATTCCATCTGTGCTAATCAGTTACAGTGCACCAGAGGCTTCATGCAACCATATAGCAAGAGCTGTTGCCCTTGCTAAGCACCTGTGGCCTTTCCTAGCATTACCTAAGGTCTGTAAATCCCAAGTGCATGAGGAAAGAGAGGAGGAATGATATTTCACCCTTTCTCATATCAGAAGAACTAAGGGGAAATAAAGAAGAAAGGGTCTCTGTACAGCGAACAAACTTCCTGGTACAAGAGGCCAATGATTTAACTTTTTTTTTTTTTTCCAAGAATAATTTTAAAAAATGGGAGGAGAAAAATCCATTGAGGGCAGCTTTAAATTCAGAGATACTACTGTTGAGTCAGGAAGCATGATGATTGCTAGATTATTCTGGGAAAGCACTACTAGATGCTTGCTGCCTTCTTCAGATGTCTGTTGCCAGATATCTACAATCGCCCCACTTTGAAGGCAGCATACTTGGCCAGAAGGATCTTCAGTCTGACCTGGTACAACTATTCTCAAGTTATATAACAGTGAGTTTGGTAAATCAGAACAATTTTTATAACATCAGCTAAACTCCCAGTGGAGTGTATTGAGGCATGCATTACAAGGAGCCGTAAAATTTGGTCTGCTAGCCCTTTCAAGTTAGAATAGGTTTATTTTGTTCCATTCTGTAATACTATTTGCCTTTTTTTAAATCCTAGGGAAATCTAAGCCACACTTTATTATGAAGTATCTGGCCTGCCACTACTCTGTTTGTACGCAAAGGGAAATATGTTTTAGTTCTTACAAATTGTTCTCATTCTGTGTATGTATTACTTGGTACATAAAAAACAAGAGGGCATCTCTGCTGCAACAGATCAAAGTTAATGTAAGCATCTGATACAGACTTTTTTTCATTAGCTAATTTGAGACAACTGTAAGCATTAATGGTCTTTTTCACGAGTTCTGTGGTTTTGGGGATGTAATTTTTATTAAAGCAGTGGATCACCCTTCAATATGAATATAAATGTATTTGCATAAAGATGTCTTATATTGTACCCACTTTCACCTGCTTAGGTGCACAATATTAACATTCACAGCATTAACGATACATCCATACACAGTAGGAGGTAAGATTCAAAGTATAAAGGAGAGGAGAAGCCAGGCTAAGATACCAGTACAGTTGGAGAAGTTCTGCTTTATTAAAACAATCTCACATTTACACTTTATTTCAGATACTGATATTTGCTAATATTAATAAATAGGATTTCCTGGCAAGGTTAGAATAATAGATGCTTTAAAAACTGAATATTATAAAACACAATTTTTTTTGACATGCTCACAATTTGAAGTGATGTGTTTTTACTGAGTTATAAATGTCCTGGGTCATTTGTACATACAGGTTTTCTTTGTCATCCAGGAAATACAGGCGATCTTTGATGACTGCTGGATTGAAACCCTCCTCCACTAGTTGTACTTTACGGTACTTAAAAGTTGTTGTAAGTTCAATGGCATTCTACAAAACAAAAATTGCATCCCCACATATTAATGGCAGCATATAATTGTGGGAATTACATTAGATTTCCTAAATTTAAAGGGAATCACGTTTGAAGAAAATCCATACAGCACAGAAGTCAAAGCCTTACTAAGAGAGGTCTAAACTGTCTGCAGATAACTGGATTGTTGAATATGTGGGCCAGCAATTACTCTGAATGTGAGAAGTGCTGGGGCCACATTTTTGAAATGCTTACATTTCTATTTAAATTGAGGCAGGAAAACACTAGGTTTCAGCTTTTAGAGAGAATCAAGGGTTGTATCCAGAACATTATTTAATTATGTTCTTGGATCAAAAAACAGCAACTTTTTTCTCAGAAAAGAAGAGCAAAGAAAATGGCCATTGGAGACTGGGCAAGACTCACTGTACTTTACATAGGCTGGCAAGACAAACCACTGCCTTGACTGGTCAACTGTTCTATTCATATAACTCAAAAGTTGAAAGATTGATTAAACAGTTAGGCGTGCTAGTATCTGTTAGTCCTCTTGAATCATCTCAGTGAATACACAACCCTTCTCAAAGGAGCAATGTTTATTTTAAATAAGTAACTAGAGAAGTAGAGCGAGACTGACATTCTTGCAACATTTGCCTAATGCAAGTTACACTTCAGTTTAGAATTTGGCTATTTATTCACTAGTAGGATAAAAATCTAAGGTTTCTTGCAAGCTTTTGTGTGTGGATCTTTATTTTGCACATAACAGTCTGTAGAGGGAGCTACACTAAGCTGAGAACACAGCTGTGTTACTGTGCTAAAGGAATCCAACAGGAAATGCATTTTCCACTGAGATCTTTGCGATTTTACACGTTAAAATGTGCCAGGTATCCTGTAGCTGCTCATGCAACTTGTTTTTTTTCAGGCTGAACTGAAACATCTGTGTGCAGTTCTGCTTTCATATTGGTAAATGACAAGAGCAAGTGACAGACAAAAGAAGCCTTTTTTGAGAATTGCTCTAGTGCAACTAGGAAGTCCACAGTCCTCATAGAAAAGAGAGAAAACACAATGCAGACACACAAAAGCTAGTTAGGAGCACTGGTTTACCTTAATCCTTATAAAACGGGGTCTCGCATAGTTAGGAAGGTGAGTGTTTACATGTCTGTAAGTACTTTCTCCGTTAAATTCAGAGTTCTCCTTTAGTCGAATACATGCCATTCCTGTTCTGCCTTCATAACCTGAAGGAATATTGACAGCAAATAACTGTAATTCATGTATAAATTTGAACGTCAGGCTAACCTTTTTTTTTTTTTCCCTTTCTCCTATAAGTGAACCCTTTAGAAAACATACTGACATATTTTCCTTTAGTCATCTAAGATTTTCTTAAGGCTTCAGCATACTAGATGCCAAACTCCTTTGAAAGCCTCGCATCAGAATTACAGATGGCAGACATTTTGAAAATCATCCTTCTTTCGAAAGTCTTTGGAAAATCAGGTTTGAGTACTCTGCCTGCCTGCAGCAGCATTTAACCGTGTAGGTTAATTTACTTTACAATAAATCATACTAAATATGCTGGTACTTGTGCTGACAAGTCCTCTTCTTTATCCATGCAGGAAGAGGACAGAAAGGAGTAAGACCCAGTTTACCATTGTTTATTAAAATATGAACGATTAATTAAGCGCTGCAGAAATCAAAGTTCCTCAGTTTTTTTACTTGTTTAACTACATACCAAGAGGGCTTCTTCCCTCCCCTTTTGATGGCTGAGGCATGGGACACCATTTAAATGCAAACCTTTTGGTGTTCCTTCTGTTTTCTGGGGTTACAGGTAATGCAAGAAGAAATAGGTAATATTCTTATACAGATTTACATTAGAAGCATATGAATGCTTTCACAGAATTGTGTACAGGAGGAAGTGAAAATGGAAAGCAGCATGTAAAGCTTAAAGAAAAGTAGCGTACGAGTATATGCTAATTTAAGATTGTTCTTCAGTTTCTTTTTGAGTATTGTTTCTGTTTGCCTTTAGCACTATGTATTGATGACACCTGGCATTCCCATTTGTTTATTCAAAATCTAGAATGCTGAATTAATGAGTCCTCAGGTGATATATACTATCACCCCCAGCTACACTACTAAAGTACAAATATTTCTGTGCCGTGTACAAAAAATACACAATCCACCCCATTCTTACACAAACATAACGTGAGAACCGGTTTGAACAGTATTTTTTTCCATAAAGTTGTTCCATAGTTAGGTATTAACACCTCTCCTATGTGGTTTTCTAAGCACATTGAGAATATGAGCATATCTTCCTCATCTCCTGGAGTGTAATCTGAGAAATACATAAAGAACTCGAGACCGTTTATGTTGTTACCTTTCTTTTGAAATGTCTCCTAGGGCAGCTGTGTATTTATCCCTACCACAAAGCAGCTGAAAACAAGAGTGATTTAAAGAGAGAGGCTTTAATTTAGATCAGTAGGTGTAGCAGAGATGTATGTACATGATTAATAAATAAAAAGTTTATGTGAATTAAATTCACTATTCTAATAGATCATCATGGTTTATAAACAGCCTTGTTTGTTATTCTAGCCTCAGAAGCAATGGGCATTTCTGTTCTCATGTCTTCCACTTTTAGTAGAGGAAATAGCGAGTGGACCACAACATCAACAGAATCTCTCACATGTTAAATAAATGTTGGAAGGAAATGGATGTAGGAAGAGTGGCGTCTCTAACACACCTTTCAGTATCAAAATACTAAATTGGCATTGATGTGACCCACGTTGTGCTATACCATAGTCTGGAAGCCTTTCTGGAAAAGTGTGATACCTGTTAATTAATATTGTTAATGAATTAATAATTAATGTTATACTTGTTAATATCTGTTAACTTAGTTAACAGGGGCTTCAAAATGCCTCCTCCTCCCTAGACTACCCTAAGGGCATGCAACATATTACGCCACCTAGTACAAGCTGCTTGCACAATGCAATACTTGGGATTTCAATCAAAGCTAACTTTGTTTCATTTCAGATCCCTACATTACACTGGAAGAATGAGTTCCATCAAAACCCAAATGCAGTGAGGAGCTAGATGGGAGGTCCTGTGGGATCTTGGGTAAGTGAGAAACATGGGCAGGAAGACACCTCCAAAATACAAGAGACAAGAAAATAGAGTAAAGCTATCTGTTCCCTCTTTTGTCTTCCATTATCTCTGGGAATCTGCCTTTAGTAGCAGTACCTCTCAAATTTGAAAAAAAAGAAGCAAGCAAGCTGCCATAAGTACTTAAAGGGTTTATAAAAGTTCAAAGATTTCATAGATTTTTGAGGAGTAAAGGCAGTAAACATATCAGAACTTCATGCATTTCTTCAGATTGTTAAAGGTGAGAAACAGAGGAATCAATTTCTTAAGTGACTTTCTTGTTCTTCTAGAAATCCAAGTCTACTTTGTTTCTCCCAATCTACAGTAATTGCAAAGCTATATTCTATAAAAGATACCATGTTTATATCCAAGATACTTAATCTCAAACGTTCTTCCGTTCTCCTGTTAGTATTGTCATACTAGGTTAATATCAGCTTTGGCTATATTTTTTTTAGCTAATTAATATTGCATACATTTAAATGATGGAATGTATCAAATGTACTTTACAAAAAATAAGCTGAAGTAGGGCTACCTATACCCTGCAGTTTAGTATGCTGATACTTTGTTAATGTATTAAAAAATTCTTTTGCTGAAATACTTCAAGTATTTTACTCATACCTGGAACAGATACTCCATATACAATAACTTCTTGAACACAGTCAATCAGTCCTAGAACATCTGCAACTTCTGTTGTAGAAACATTTTCCCCTTTCCACCTGGAAAATAAGGAGTCAACAGTCATGAGTTCTGTGTGTATTACATATAGTGATCTCCAGTGTTTTAATGTCTGACTTTACAATGGGCTGAGCACTGAGCTTGAGATCAGGAAGCACTTTTGCACAACAAGGAACTTGTTATCAAAAGTAGAGAAAAACAAGGCAGAAAATTCAACAACACATTTCAGATTATTCAAATCTCAGAAAAATTTAACACACTTAGTTTAATCATGCTTAAAATGGCTCTAAACAAACAAAACCCCAAAATATTACTTACCTTAGATTCCATCCTAGGCTCTAAAAGTATAACAAATGTGAAACCACAATGGTTTTGTTCTATGAATGTGACTGGTTTCTGACTGTTCAAAATAGCATTCATTCATCACCCTAAGATGAACCTCTTGTAGGCTTCTGTATGTAACTACGAACACAAATGATAAAATACAACAGTGGAAGTGACTTTTTCTGACTGAGAGTCAGCGAAATTCCTCATCATCAGTCAATAGGAAATACTGGATATGAATTCAGACCTGAGAATGAGTCAGAATTTTCTCTTGTAACAAGCATTTAAATAAACAAACTAACCGGAATGTGTCTCCAGTTCGATCATGGAAATAAATGAAGTTATCATTGTCAATCACTAAAAGGTCACCACTGTTAAAATATAAATCCCCTTTTTGGAAGACATCTCTTAATTGCTTCTTCTGTGTTTGCTGTTTTGCTCCTGCATAGCCGCTAAATGGTGCGTATTGAGTGATTTTGCAGATCAGTAGTCCAGGTTTACCTACAAAGAGGAAAAATTTGTTTAAAAAGCATGGTGTAAATTGCCAAAAAATAACTAATTTTCATTACATCAGTGAAATTTGCAGATGTTATTTGAGAATTTTGTTGTAATCATCATCTTTTAAAATCAGTTGTGGACATACAGATTGAGTTTCACCCTCTCAATTCACTAGTCCTCAAAAATGCCAGTAGATAACACAATTTATCACCTGCTTGTATTAATGGAGCAGAACAGAATCTCTGAGGTCTTATCTGGTAAGAGGAAAATAGTTGCCCGGTTTCTCTAGACAGCTTCTTAAACCTCAGTTTAGAACACCTAACGCAATAGGAGCTGTGTCTACAAAGGAAACTTAATGTGGCATCAGGCATGTCTTTAGAAGGTGATGATTGGTACGGGCTTTCCACGTAACTTGGTGTGGGGCAGCCTCACCCCTCAATCAAAAGATTCAGTTGGATTTAGGAACCAAATATTGGGGTTCAGCTTGCTTGCTTTGAATGCAAAATAGACCAAAAGGCTGCTTAGTATGTTCTTTAGTCTTTCATGTGCTAGAGCTGGAGTAATTCATGAAGGGAGCAGGAACACCTCTATGTTTATGTGAACTGAAACTCAACCCCACGTTATATAGAGCTTTGCATGGATGTGACACACTGGAGTGAATTTTATCTCTATACAAAATAAATTACAGTCTGTCCCCATCAAGCCTGAGCTTTTACGTTTTCTTATGGGTTTCTCTTACACTGCAGATATTTTCTATGCCTGAGATCTGTAAAAGATCTGTACTCAAAAATGTTCACGTGTACTTTATTAAAACCAGATAAGTTATTAAAATCTAACTATACAGACACGGCATTCCCCACTGTACTTATCTTTCTGCTAAGCTGTATTACAATAGTACATGATTTGTTAGATATTTTCTAATTTGTAGTTAAAAACCTGGCTTACTCAATGGCAATTCTTAGCATCTTTCCAGACAGAAGTCATGCAAAGAGATATAGTTTTAAAAAGTGAATATCTTTCTGAAATTTTTTAAAGGAGTTAAGTTTTTACCTTTAGGAACTCTTATGCAGTATCCATTTTCATCTCGGACTGGTTCATCTCTCTCTACATCATATTTAATCAGTTCATAGCGTAAGATTTTCTAGTGAAAATTTGCAAAATGTATACACATATGAATATTCAATCTTGGAAAAATATTTTCAGAATTATACTACGTAGTCATATGTCTATTTAACAGGAGCCAAATTAATCACATTTCAACTGGACATGTTGAGTCTAAATGTTCTTTTGCCTGAACTAGCGAGAGGTATCTTGTGATATCTAACATGGGCAGTTACAGATTACCTGGGTAGAATCTTCTCCCTAAACTAATTCATAACTAAGCCTTGGGTTCTTCCCAACTTGTCATACAAGTGGCCTGCTATGTGCCCTTGGCAATACACCAAACTTCACCAGAAAGGAAAAAATGCCAGGTTTTGTCATTATTCTTACCTTCTGCAGGCAGTTTACTCTTCCCACTGCACCAATTTTCCCAGTGTAATTAACAAAAGAAATGTTTCCTTCCGTCGATGCATAAAATTCCAAAATATTAATATTTCCAAATCTTCGGATAAATTCCCTCCAAACATCAGCCCTTATTCCATTTCCTATGGCAAGTCTGACTTTGTGATCCTGATCATTGTTTCTCTAGAAACAAGCAACAGTCATGAATTCGCATTTCTGCTGAGTGAAAGCAGAATTTTTACTTCTGGAAAACTCTGAAGGGAACTTCAGTCTAAAAGTATTGAGCATATTCTGAAGTAAAATGTGTGCAAACATCATTACAGTTAAGATCATGATTTTGATGTGGAAAGGGAAAAGACATTACAGAGCAAGTTAGGCTATATATCTAACTGTAGTTAGTAGCTAACTTGATATGGATGAAGACAGGAATAAATAATTCTACACAGAAAGCCAGAATGAAACTTGGGCACCATGTTAAACTATTTTGTTTGTAAGCCTTGTGGTGACTATCTGCAGAAGAGTGTAATTTACCCTGAATTCAGCAAATTGTTTGCAGGATTTAAAATGATGTTGGGGTGAAAAGGAAATCCCTTCTGCCACTGTAAGTGCAGGATTGAGCCTGCTAAAAAATTTATTACCACATTTCATATCACTTTTAATAGTGCTATTAGATCTTCTTGTTTACACAGTAAAGTGATAAACACATAGTGAGGGTGGCAGTAGTCCACTTATACCTTCTCTTAGACATTTATATTTATCCTCAATAATAGGAAGTACAGAATTACATCAGACACTTGTAATTCATAAAAATATTTAATGTCCTAATGAGTAACAATAGCCTGAGAAAATTTTAGAAAACATGTAATGGCTCTTTTGTCCCCCTTCCTGCCTTTTTCTCCAACTGTTTCTTCTACTGCATAATTTAATAGTATTTTAAGGCACCAAGAGTTTTTTAAGATATATATTGGCTTCTAAGACTATTCTATCAGCAATAGACTGGAACATGTATTTGTGCGGAATAAGTATGTTGGCTCTGTGTCTTTGAGGAAATACAGTGCAGAGGGCAATGCAGTAGTAGATGGTTGAAACAGATGATGAGCACGGAACACTGGAATTGCAAAATGCTCTTTCAAGGAGCAATTCAAGAGAGAAATCTGGCCAGTAAGACAAACATGGATTGTCTTATAGTGTCATATTCCCAGAAAAGATAAAAAAAAATGCCATAATAAAATGGCTACAGTTTTTAAATACTGTAAAACTTTAATTTTATTTTGGACTTCAGTCATATAATTTCTGGATTTTTACTGCTTTTCTGCAGAATAGTCTAGAAATGGATGTTTAAATTTAATCTAAAGAAGAAATACATTAATACATAGTTCTCTGGGATATTGAGAGATTTGCCATTAACATGTTAGGACAGAACCAAGCTTAAAATAGAACAATGAAATCTGCTGAAATTCTGCATATTGTCTAAATTATTTACTGTTCACTTTTAATAAAATCTTTGTTGTAGATGATGCTCTACAACACAATACCTTAGTCTCTCATGAGAGAGACTCCAGTTGATTGGGCATTTTTACATCTGAGCTTAAACATGTTATTTTGAAATGGTTCACTGAGGACAAGATGCTGCTTGGATCTGCACTGTCCCTCATCTTTTGTTGTTCTTAAGCCTGTATTTTCAATCTTTCTTCCCCATTTGCTTAGGCAGATAGAGAAAATTTGTTATTTAGCCATTAATTAGTTATAGCGAATGAAAGGACAAAGGAAGGACTTAACGATTCCCTTCTTCACCCTTAAGGTGATATCTGTATTAATGAAAGGACAAAGGAAGGACTTAATTCCCTTCTTCACCCTTAAGGTGATATCTGTATCTTGGATTGCTCATTTGTTCTGAAATGACTATGTAAGTTAGCTGGAAGTACAATCAGAAAGAAAACTGACACATGTTGAGTTTTTATCTTCTGTGGATATGTAAAAGAAAGAAATGATAGCACAAATAAAAGTAACTAGCACAATAAGCAAGTGCAACAATGAAATGGCATTAGTTAAGACAGATGACATCCTCCATCAATGTGGATCTTGCTTACATGGCAAGTTCCTCATGGAAAAACTCTGTTATATCTGCAACAGACCAAGCCCCCTTGGCGCCATGACAGTTTAAGTAATAATATCCATTCTGTCAAGTTTTTGCATTCTTAAAATGTTAATCCTATCTTTCTGGGAGACTTGTGCACTCAAAGGAGCATGCATATGGGTACATGGGATCAGATATTAAGCTTATAAACCTTGCTTATGTAAAGGTGTTTTCACTGGTGTTGAATTCTACATACTGAGTAAACAAAAATCCTTATATGAAATAATGAAAGCTAAGCTATCTGTGTCTATCTTAACTGATAATGAGCAATCTGCAAGACAGCCTCAAATACTACTCAACTGTATCATTCAGTGAGCTTCAGGTTCAGCCCTTCATGTTATTTTTGATGAACAGGTCACTTTAATGGTTAAGCTTAATGTCTCTGTGTGGTCAACGTTACCAAACTCACCCCATTTGGGAACCAATTTATACTTGGCTGGCCACTGTACACATTTTGAGACACTGGCTGAATTCAAGAATTTACAGAGTATGCCCTGTAACTCAGTGCATGCATGCATGCTATCAAGAAACACAGCTCTATCAAAAATGAGTATATTAGGTCATTCTTTAAGCTTATTTTCTTAAAAAAACCCATTCTGTATGAAAGGAGATACAATCTAGTTTTTTACTTTTCCCCCTATTTTATTTACACCAGTTGAATATTAGCTAATTATGAGTACTTTGCTAACTGGGATTTTCCATGAACTGTAGGACTGATGTATAAATTATCACCACCCTTAACAATACGTTTGAAGTGCCCAGTTTCTTTAACTCAGTTTAAATCTCCTCCACCCCCACTTTTTGATTAAAACTAGTGGCCCAATCCAGAGGCCAAGCCTTCTGATTATTATAAAATGCATTAACTGCTCATTTGGGGCTAACAACTCATGAAGAAATAATACAAAGCATAGCAGAATCTTCCTTAGTTACCCAATTCCTGAGGAATCCTACTGATTTCCAGTGAAGTTACTTCATATTGCTGTAACTGACATCAGAATGAAACATCTGTATAGTTGATACTTTGCACACATACATAAATTACAAAGAAACTGTGCACCTGATTCTCTGTTCTGGCTTATCGTTATCAAATACTGCTAGGAAGACTGATTGATACCACCTTTATTCCTACTAAGTTCTAACTGCAAACACATTTTTCAAATTAAGGATTAACTAATATGATTGCAGGGATCTCAGCAGGGAAGTGCCTCTGAATAGGTACCCTATGAAGACAGTACATTAAGTGCATCTTCAGAGGGGGCACTCTTTAAATAATCATATTAACACTTTCACCTGGGGATCACCTGACTACCTTGGGTTAGGACATCTTAGCTACAAAACCCCCAAAGCTCACATTGCTCAAAACACAGCTCCACTAGTCCCTAGAGAACTCCTTGGTTTTGATTTCCAGCTGGAATACTTATATAAGGTAAGTGTTTTCTCTATCCACTTTAATGGAATGTCAATTAATGGATTGCCACTGTTCCACTATTTAAAAGAATGATTAATTCAACCCAAAAGCTCCTTTCTTTTTCCTTGAAAAAAAGTTCCTGTTAGTATGCAATGAGATTACAGACCTTGTTAGGGAAGGTTTTGTTGGACTTTTTTTTTCCCCTCCCCTTCTGGTTAGATTTTAAGGGTAATAAAACAAATATTCCTAGTCATTTAGTTAGCAAAACAGAAGAGCAGTTAACGTTACCTGTGGCACACTGCATAGATACCGAAGCACTTCCCCAATATACTGTATCACTGTTACGTTGTATTTTCTGCAATCATCCCAGAACTGGCTTGCTGAAAATCTGGCTCGCAAAACAATAGTTGCACCTGTATAGAAAGAAGTAAAACAAATAACAGAAGGAACAATTCTTATTACATCATAAGACCATATAGAATTTCTTAGCACAGCATTGTAGTATACAACTTGTATAATTAGGGTTATAAAGCTTTTGGAAATACATTTCCTAAAACATATCAAAATACAATCCATGCTGAATAATTGGTTTAACCTCTATTTCTATTCATGAGAAGCTATTCTTGTGGATGAAACTCTGTACTAATTTACCCTAAAACTGTGCAAAGAGCTGTCATGTAAGATAGGATATATCCTGTTTGTCCAGGTGACAAAATAAAACTTGTACAGTTTTATTGTGAGGTGAAGATCTGTGCAAGTCACAGGAAGATGACAGAGAAATGAGAATGTCTCTTGGCTTACAGTTTCTGGTAACAGACATGTATAACCAAGTATTTAATCTCAAAGCCTAGTAGCTAGGGAGAGGCTGCTTGTATCTGGGATCAGTCTGTACATGAATTCTGCACAGTAACACATCCATTCATACTAGTCAAGTGCACAGTACCTTTCATGATACATCCATGGACTCCAACAAGGAGGGCAGAGCTATGATAGAGCGGTAGAGCAGTATAGATAATATCTTCCGAGGTAACATTGCCAGCATCAAACAAACCACAAGCTAGCATTATGCGTTCGTGGTTAATCACTGCAGCTTTGGGAAGACCTGTTTAAAGTCAAGCAAAAAGCTGTTTAACTTCACTTGAATATAGTAAGACCAGTCAGTTTCACAAGGGCTTAAGAAAAGACTTTCATTCACTGATGCAAGTGATAGCTCCAGAGTTCAGGGAAGCATGCAGCTTGCATCTATGCAACACACTGGTGTTTAGCCTTGGTGAGGATGTGTCTTCCCACTTGTAACTTTTAGTTGATTACTCCCCGGTAAGTGCCCAAATTCCCCATCTAAGGTACCTAGGAATAACAAGTACCTAGAGAGTGAGGAAATGGGATTTGGAGAATCTAGCAAAGTGAATGGAAATGCTAAAACTGGAGGTTAATCTCAGATCTTGTATCTCTCCTGGAGTTAGGTATCTCCTTGCAACTCTGAATCATCATAGATGAAACTGGAATTCGTACTACAAAATCTCTTCTGGGTTTCCCATCAGATACAGTGGAACTGATTACTTGCTGAAACAGATGCTAGAAGACAAAATGATGGTAGTGCTTGCCTATTCTGTAAGAACAAAGATGTTAGAGCCTTTAACAAGGATGAAGGACACCTGAGTTATTTGCCTTCTGCAGCCCAAATAGGATTCAAATTTGTTTCTGCTGTGGCTAAGTGCTCTTAATGCTAGATGCTTTTATGTAGAGCAGGTTGCAGCTCCTATACCGGCTGCGGTTTTGCACAGTGGCCACGACTAGCTGTATTTTTGGTACTCTCACACCCAAAAATTCAATGCCCAGCATTTAGAGTTCATGATCCAAAGATACTGAGTATAAGGTGGGTGCCAAGACACATACCTAGGCCAGCAGTGTCTCCAGGGATAAGAGATAGCAGATGTCCAGTGACTTTACTGGCATAAAATTAGTATGTTTAGTTAGTTTTTACTTCAGTCCCTTCCCTCAGATTTAGTGCTTAAAGTCAGCCTATATTCTATGTGCTTTTTGGTTTTAGATACAGGTACCAAATTTTCAGTTTCCTGAGGGGGAATCAATGAGAGTCGGAATTAATGTAAAGTAACAGATTCTCTTTCCTTTCTAAAAAAACCACAATATCGGGAGGAATGTGTGGCCTTCCATACAGTTTTTGTGAATTTACATTACCTGTAGTACCAGAAGTATAAATGTACATGGCTGGTGTCTTAAAGGTTATATTTGATCTCCAAGACAATGGAGTAGGCTCATCCGAAGCAGCATCTACTTTATCAAGAAAGCTCTCAACTCCTTCTGTAGCAGATGTCTTGCTTAAATAATAAACTTTAACATTTTCTTTCTTCAGGAATGGTAGTATTTCTTCAACAGATTCCTTTAGTTCTTAAAGAGGAGAGAAAAAAGTTATTGTAAGAAAATTCTGTATTAGTCTGTGAACTATACTATCAATGCATCAACTCTGGCTCAGCAGCTTTCACGTTTAGCTGCTGTTGGAGAAATTCGTGTTCAAGTCACTTCAGAATCCAGCAAAAAGGACTGAAGAGGAGCAGTGTCTCCCCACAGAACTGGGAGTGATTTGGTTTGGTCTGGTTTTCTGCAGCAGGAACAGAATTGTAGAGGAGCAATCCAAGCACACTTCCCCTTGCCTGCAGACCCTGTGGGACTCTGAGGGAGAGCGCGCCTGGCATCACCAGCTCTATGTTGCTACCTTCCCTCTCCACCATGGGGAAACGCTGCACCTGGCAAGTGCCCATGCAAAGCTAGGTGCTGTTTAAATCAGCACCATGTTTTATGCAAAAGACGAACCTCATATTTCTCAACTCCCAACACAATGGAAGAAACACTGAAAAGCAGAATGACCTAGTTAGTAGTCGCACTACTGAAGCCTGGACTCCCAGATAGCTGTGTTCTGTCTCTCCCTATGCCTGTCTCCTCTGTGTGTCTTGATTAATCCCAGTTCTCATATTTCTTCTGGTATCTCCAATCAACAAGAGTGCATGATTTCATTTATGTGCAACAAGCAGGCTAAATCCCTGCATGATCAAGTCCTGTCTGCCTTTTTCTTGCTGAAGCAGTCGTGCAGGTCTCTCTCCTCTACCCACTGCCAGTTTCAAGCAAGCTGGAAAGACTGTAGTTGTCCCTGAGACTCTTACTCACTTAAGAAGCTGGATAATGGAATGAAGTGAAGATGACCAGACCGCTGGTGCAACCAGCTATACCTTGTTTCTTTAGGAATCCAGACTAAAAGCCTTCCAACTCACAGCCACTTTTACTTGAATAGATAATCCATGAGATTTAAAATGAATCCTCAACACCAATTTCACTAAAACATATAAAACTTTCCATAACATGTAATTTATTTTTTACCACATCCATTTTATTTCAAAGCAAAGAATAAATTATTATTAAATCGACAAATCTCTGAGGCAATTTAATACTGAAAACTAAATCTGCTACTAGAAACTGTATCTCTGTGCTAATTGACTAGATAAAGCCAAGATCCCCATCAAAAGTTTCTTAATTGCACATAAGCAGTAACTTTAATAAAAAACATTTCCTTTTCAAGTCTGACAGACTCTGGAATGCCCCATCAAACAATTCTGTACTTCTGCTGTAACTTTGGTCCAGAAAACATCCTGATATTACTATGGGTGCCCTTAAACCACCAACCTACTCATGAAAATCCGTAAGGCTTCTTTTAGTGAACAGGTAAGGAAACCTCAAAATACTAGCACAGCCTGACCTGTCTTCCTCCATTCCACCTATGCTCTCCAGCACTGCACAGAGGCTGGACTGCACGAAGAGTAAAGCTGGGCAGGAGGAGAGGTCTGCTCTTTGGACACCATTAGGCATGAAGGAGATAAAATAAGGCCTTTTATGCAAGTATCTAATGAGCTGGCACCTTAGAGATAAATGACCCCCAATAAACTTTCACTGAGATAAATAACCCTCCAATAAATGTTGAAATACATATTTTATTGTAGGTATAAATACTCTTAATGACATATACACTGTATTAATGAATAATTTCTTTTCCGAAACTTATCTGTGCAAGCACACAGATAGAACCTCATGTGATGGTAAATTCTGATGAGACAGTATTTCTCTTCTGTATAGAACCGCAAGATAATAAAGGATGAATCTTAATAAGAACAGGGAAAATCAAGGTCCAACAGAAAAGACCTAGGCTTCTTTCCTCTCCTGATGTCCAATAAACACTAGTGGAGTCAAGCATGTAGTAAATTTTTATGAATAAGCCTAAATTTTTTCTTTTACTTTCTTTTGCCTCAAAGCTGAAGGCTTGTTTAGAAAAATTGAGGCAAGTATATTATAAGAAAAATACATTTCCTATCCTACACAACGGCTTTTCCCACATATGCTAGTAACTCAAATACTGATTCATTTTGAAAATTCAGAGATTGCACAGAACTTAATTCTCAGTGAGGCAGAAACTTATCTCAATAGGAAAAAATTTCATTTGAACTCCTTAAGTTTTGGGGCATATAAAGTACTTCAGTTACATACAATAAATGAATGAGCTCAACTATCTAAACTGAAACGGAGTATATATTCATGTAGAAGTTGTTAACTCTAGCCAGATAAAGATCATCTTTGACTTCCCCTATGGTCAGTCATTCATACTGTAGGTATGTATATACACACACACAGAGGTCTCTGCTCTATATGGAACAGAATGCAGCTCTCCATTTAAAACATACCAGTATGTTAAAGTCTCTTCTATGGAAAAGGAATACGGTTTGTCTACACGGGTTCATGCCTTTTTCTTTGAACTGAAACCTGACCAAAGCTTTTGTATAGACTGCAACCACCTGTATGTGTCTAAGCCGCTGTCCAGCTGCAGCAAGAGGGTTCTTCTGCATTACCTTGATTATTTCTAATTTGGACATTTGTGTGAACGCAAGTGTGAATTTATCGTGTTGTTTATGATTGAGAGCTATTTTATTTCTAGGTCTTCATTGCCCTTCTCAAATAGCTAACGAGGTATCAGAGCTCAATGCCCGCATCTTGTACGTGAGCTGAACGTGAAAATACGGTGCAAACTACTTGGAAACCTTGTCCTTTCACATGGTCTGAAGCAACTTCTCAAGCCCCCCAGTTCGCCTGTGTCAGGACGGGCCGCCACCAGCAGAAGGCGCCCCTCCGCTCCATCCCGCTCCCGGGAGATGCCCCCGGGGCTGCCCGCCGCCACCCCAGCGCGCCGACAAGCCCG